TTAGTTATATAATATTAGTTAATATATATAATATAAATTTTCTTCATAAAAATTATTTTCTTTCAAATTCAAATAATATTAATAAAGAATGAAATATAATCAAATCAAACTTTCAAAAACTATTGAAAACAACATATTTTTAATAATTTATCATTTTTATTTATATGTATGCGTTTTTTATTCATGAATTGACAAATTTCTTTTTTGTAAATTTCTTTTTTATTTTATGCCAGAAATAAAAATCATTTTAACAATTTCTTATTTCTACGATACTATTATCGTTTAACTATCATTCATGATTTTAACAATATCTAAAACAAATTAAATATATTCATGTACATTGAATATAAAGATAAAATAAAATAATTAATATATTGTTTATTTTTTAATACAAAATAATTACAAAATAATTTATAGTACATTTATACAATTTATCTTTATAACAAAACATTTCAAAAATATACAATCAAATTTATCAAACAAGAAGAGTTATCAAAATTGGTTTAACTCAATATATATATCTAAATTCAATTCTATAGAAAGAAAAACATATCAATTAAATAGATAAGAATATTTGAATGATGAATCAATATTTTTAAGAAGTAAAATTTTGAAAAAGTGAATATTATTCATAATAATATTCCTCATATTTATTATAACAAATATATAAAAAGTAATTAACATAAAAATAATTATTAAATATAATTAATTAATAAAAAAGACAAAAATAAAAAGATTATTATTTAATTTGATAAAGATAATTTATCATCAACTAACAATCTATCATTATAAGAATTATAAATTAAGAATGAAAAATTTACCTAATATATAATTATCAATAAAAATACACCTGGTAATTATTCAATTAATCTTTGAGAATCAAATTCATTGCAAAAATAGGATGCATGTAAAAAAATATTGCAACATATAAACCAGTTTGCAAAGTGCATGATTCTGCAAACTCCAAGATAATAAGTTTTACGACATTGAACGTTGCTCCCTGCTACAACTCGTGTTACGCTTAAGTTATATCAAGGTGAATATGGAATATACATTTACATTATATGCGCTATAGATCACGTGTTATGTTTACTATGGTTTACTAATGAAAATATTAAATCATATTGAAACGATATTCAAACATTGATTGACGTTTTCGAGATCATAAATATAGTTACGTTCCTAAATGTGTTGTGTAACATGTATTGACCACTATAAAATAATCAACGAGAATGATTGATAAGTATAATTGCAAGTAGTTGTAAAAATGTTACCTGTTTTATACACCAAGATAATGTTATCATTACGATAATAAATATAAATATAAATAATACAAATATAAAAAATATAAATAATTAATACATAATAGATTTTAGATATTTTATATAATCGTTATGTGATAAATAATACAAATTAGATAATTTTTTTAAATATTTTTTATGATAAATAACTAATTATTTAATAATAAGAAAATATAAATTTTAATTATATTAGAAAAAAATTAAAATTAAGAATATCCAACATTTTTAATTGAAAAAATACAATTTTTTAAATGAATTATATGATGAAAAGAAACGACTTTAAGTAAGTACTATTAATTGGAAAAAAACTGAAATAGCAAGAAATTAAATGATATATGTAAAATTAATATGATGTATTAATAATTATAACATAATTATATATAACATATAATATAAAAATTATTATAATTACATTATTAATTATTTATAATTAATTAATATAATTATTAATTATATATTATTAATTATTTATAATTAATTAATAAAAGATTTTTTTTTTACTAAAATTCTTAAATATAATTTCAAAGTAAAAAAGGATGAAAATTTAAAAATTAAATTATTAGAAAATAATTTAATCACGATTAGAATGAAATTTTATTCGATTATTATTATAATTTTCTTAATAATGGTCTTTCCTAATAATAAAGATATATTATTAAAATTCCATTCTAAGTAAATATGATTTTTATTGTTAAAATATTTTAACAATAATACTACCATTTTATTTCTAATTTGTTGAATCAGTCAATATGGATGTAAACCATATTGCAGTACTTGTTTTCGTCTATATATTACTAACGATGTGTTGCATTACACTATTGTCCTGAAGTACAACGAGTATCAGATGATATTGAATGCCAGATGTACGGTGTGAAGATCGCGATAGTTACTTTTCTCATAGAAAGTAGAAAAGTAGATTAGTTTATAAAATTATATTTATAAAAAATATGTCATCGATAAAATAATCATAAAATAAAATTGCCGTTTGAACAATAATTAATTATCATTTGATTAAATTACAAAAAAGTTAAATTAATGTTTTTATATAAAATAAAAATACTAATTATACGTAAGGTTATATAAAGATTTAAAAATTTTATTTTTTTATTCTTACAATTAATCATGATTAATACAAATTGCACGATAAATATTAACTGAATATAAATAAGATATATTTACGGTAAAATTTTTTAAAATAATTCAAGTATGTACGCGCATGAAATTACTTATATAATAATCCATTCATTTATCGATAATACATGACCGGTAACCGCATACAATTTGACCATGAATTTAATACCTAACAGAAAGATCGATGACTTGTTTGTGGAATGTTATAACTATGATAATATTCGCACTTTAGGATAAATGAAGAAGAATGTTATTAATTTAATTTTAATTAGATCTAATATTGAATTTCTATTTACTGCGATACTATTCAAGAAGTTTGAATTACAAATAACCCAAAGTCATTTTTCATCACTAAAAATTGTGAGTTGATTGTACATTGTTAATGTGTGTGTATATATATATATATATTATAATTGCTTTATAAGTCATTATATAAGTAGATGGAAAAACAATTTCTAATATAAAGTTAGTATATCAAACATAAAATCATAACATATGGATTTCAAACATTTATATTATTTTTAAACTCGAATTAAAATATTATTTAAGAAAAAAGTTAAGTTCATTGCTTACCTTCTTTATATACTATCACGACTATCTTAACTTTTCAACCTCGTGACTTCTCAACGAGTTCGACGATTCCTGTCGACTAACAGTCTGTTTTCCCACCGCGATCAAAAGAGGAAATTATCACTATACGCGATCCAAGGGTCGAGAATGGTGTGGGTGTATAGATATGTATAAGTAATATCTGTAGGTACACACGTATATAAATGTGTATACATAAAAGAGAGACGAGGAAAGGACACAAGAGATAGCTGATCTACGACGTGATGTACTTCGTGATCAACGAAGAACTGAATTCGAATCGTGATTTACATGAGAAGTTATATATATATGTGAGTTATAATTTTTTTGAAGATCTTTGAACTTTGGTCCTTATTTTGTAACAATGAAATACTATTTACACTATTTTTGATATTGCTTAAGAAAAAGGTAAATGTGATATATAATGATAAGACAGCTGTCCGAAAGATCATCTATTTTAGATGTTACGTCGAGAACGAAATCATTTTTTTATATAAATTTCAATAGTAAAAGTATTTGTTTCAAGCATGCACTTAAATTATCTTATTTTCTTACATTTGTTAAGATAATGAATTATAAAGAGAACTTCTTTAAATCCTTTTTCAATTAAAAAATTATCCCAGCAATTCACTGTTACTTGATAAGATAATAATAAATCAAAAACGGTTTAACACCACGTGCTTTGTACTATGAACTTGATACAAGATTCACTGTTAACCGATTCTATACTTGCGGCGGTAATACGTAATGCGCATTCGAGCGACAGCTCAATATTCGCGCGAATAATACTCGAATATTATCATTTCTTTTATATTTAAAACACTTTTTTTTATGCACATGTCAAATTTTTAACCTAACACACATTGAGGTTTCGCGAATACTGCATATTTTCGGCAAAACTAAACGTACCCTTCTCTCACACGTACTAACGCCAGCGCAGAACACCGACCACTCTATACATGCTCGATTCAATAGCAGCCATCTTGCTAGTTTCAAGCTCAAACCGAAAGAATCAATGAAAGAATTATAGCATAAATTCTTAAACATGTAATAATTCGAAGATAATAATTTTGAAGAACATTACAAATTATAAGCATAAAAACAAAAATTATTTTGATTTCTAATATAATTTTCAAATTTGTTATTATTTGAATATATTTTTTATTTGAAATCTCCCGCCAATTTTTAATATAACGAATAGTTTATACTTGAAAATTTTACGCATTTAATCTCATAATTTTTGTTAACATCATATAATAATCATTATAAATAATGTATTAAACATAAATAATATTAGATAATATACTATAAATTAATTTATGCGCATGTGAGGATTCAAGGTTTGACTCACAAACTACGATGGTCATGCTTTTCGATATAGATAGCCGGCCTACACGTGAACCAATCACAAACGGAGTTTCAATGGGCGGGGATGTGGCGTGATCCACGATGACGTCATAGTAGTCTACAATCGATAACTATTCGACGTTGAGCAAACCCTTATAACCTTGTTACTGTAGTACTACATACGATCAATGTTTGACTTCAATGCGCCACATTTTATGATATGATCGCGCATTTTGATAATGCAGATTAATAACTTCAATAAAAACACAATATTTTCTTAATCATTTTTAATTATAAAAAAGAAAAATGATATTTAATTCTTATGAGTTTTTCGTAAAAGAAAAAAGTAAAATATATTACCATTAAGGTAAGAGAGTGATTTTATCGATCATGTTGATCTCTACTGTAGTTAATATCAAAGTTTTGACATATATTAAAATACAAAACCTTTTGCAAAACTAACTAAACTTTTATACATATTTTATAATGCGCAATAAGATAAATGTTGAAAATGAACTGAAAATAATTTGAAAATAAATTCTTATATAAAATAAATAATACTAAAATAATATTAAAAAAAAGTTTAATATAAATATATACATAATAATTATTATGTTTTCCAAAATTCGGATGTAATAGTACAACCTAAAATCCAGATCTTTATTTTCATAACGAAATACATGAGAAATGCAATATAATATAATAAAATCAACAGCGTAACATTTAAACTTTATTAAAACCAACAATATTAACAAGAACAACAAGAATAAATCATTCCTTCGGAAATAGTTCACGGAAACTCGATCTTACATAAAATTCAATTGTCCTGCCATGTCGCTCAACGACGTAGTATATCAGTTAGTTATGCACTCGAATAGAATGGTTCACATCATGAATGATCAAGTGCCGGGAGACCTACGACATTAGTAACATGATTCAAATAATAATAGCCTCAAAATGATAACAACGTTTCGGATCAAACCTTCTAATTATGAAATGCATTAAGACACTTGTCGTTAAGGATCCAATCATGATGCTGCTACGGTCGCTAAAAGCAGTGCAAGAAAACAAGCCAGCAAAACCATAGAATATGTAGTAAATAGTATTGTTATGAGGTTAGTAACATATGAAATACGCATTTCAGTCGAACGAGGAATGTCATACAATTCATAAGTATCCTTGCATTTTGTACTCTCACCTTCACAATTTGAGTCATGTTCATCAATTTCTGGTTTAACAGCAGTTGATATTACAGTTTTTTCTTGATCGCTTTCTTTTTCTTTTTCGTTGTTTAATGTCATTGAATTTGTTTCAATAATATTTAATGACGAAATATCTTTTTTAATCGAAACATTATTGCAAGAAATATTATTGGTTGCATCCTTCTTTAATAATGCTTCTAATTCTTCAATTTCCTTTTCATGTTTGCATAAACTCGCTGCTGCTAATTGTAAATCATAAACAGCTTTGGATAAATCAAGTTTTGGATCGGTATGCGAATTAGTTCTTGTTTTTTCTGATTCTATCAAATTGCAGTCCTCGTTTAAAGTTATCGTTGTATCTTCTTTAGGAACTACATTTAATATATCAGTGATCCTTGACGAACTAGACAAATCGTCATTTGTATCGTCTTGACTACAAGTAATGGAGCTACGAGTACTAGTATTGGGCGCTGTACTATCGGTTTCTATTTCAGAATGATACGACGTCAGCGAATTCTTTTGGCTTAAACGACTATCACGTAAGTGATCTGCCACACTGCTAAACGCCTCTGCAATTAGTTTAACATTCTCGTCTGCGACACGAAGATAAAAATCAAACGTATTATCGTCAGTCTTCTCAGAATCTTTATTTTTTTCAAATTTAGTGAGAATTTCTGTTTGTTTCTCTATGTTCTCCTTATTTTTATGATTTTCAATATTATTTTCTGAATAATGATTACCTAAAGATTGAATATGTAAAATTGAGGATTCTTCCATCTTATTATTATCATTTGAAACATCTATTACAGGAAGTTCTGAACGAACATGTGTTTCTTCAGTTGATTTCATTTCCATATCATTTTGTCCTTCAATTAAATTAACTAAATCTTGGCATAAACGACTATACGCTGTGAAATCAGTTTCTGTATCTTGATTATATGGCTCGTTAGATTTGCTCTGCACGCAATTCTGCCAGAATTCATTGTTTAATGCATTAGGTAATATATCATTAGATATTATGGAGTTTTGTGCTCTTGTATCATTCTCATTTTTATTTTCGAAGTCCTGTACTTTAGTGGATGG